CTACTCACTTAACATAACATACAACAAGCAAAGTAGAACAAAAAACCTCCAAACAAACTTACTAGTATTAGCCTACATGGATGACATGATATGAATAGCCCAATCCAAACAAGAACTACATACAATCAATCCTCAAAACTGCAAGTTCATTCTTCTTACTTACAAATATAAAAGTAAATCTAAACAAATCTGTGCTTGCAGTAACTAATTCAATAATTAGCAATCCAAATATAACATATAACAATACAACAATAGAGACAATACAGCCAAAAGAGGCCTTTCACTTTCTAGGATGCTGGTATACTATCTACAAGAATCACAAACCAATTCACAAAATCATCAAAGAAGAAGCTGATAATGCTATAAGAAGAATTAAAAATGCAAATATAATAGAAAAACAGGCTATATACATTATTAATACTGTTATATTAACTCAACTAGCATATAAAGTCCAAAACACTTACCTACTTACACAATTATGCAAAGCAATAACAAACTATTATATAATATTAGTAAAACACAAAGCTGGCCTTGCACAGACAGTACCCAACTTAACACTATTCTACTATTAAATTTATGAATTAAGAACTGTTATAAATATTCAAACATAGCAACACATCTCTTTTATATACCGACAGCTCAATTATGCTAAACTTTCAAACCCAATACTAAAAATATGCATTCAACAAATTCAAAATACTACCTATAGCAATAAGTCAATACTAACCAATAACACATATATATTGCTACAAAAAGAATCAAAAACATTATTAGCAAAAATGCTATACAGCATACAGAAAACAGAAATAACTTTTTTAAACAGCAATAACAATTGGCCAAAACTAGCAGAACATAAAGGCACACCAATTGATATAGTTCTTTAGCAAATTAACAAACCATATCTAGTAAAGGCCAAACTTAACAAAATTGGATTGCACTCTATTGAACAATGCACTAATTACAAGAATACAGACATACTAATATAAACACAAATACCACATACTATACTATATATATCCAGAGAAAGGGAACCTAAATAGTACAAATTTATAACAAAAAACATAAAACAAAACCTTAGCAACAACAACTACAATCTTGTTACTCCAAACCCATTCATCTTTAATTCATATCAAACATTCAAAAAGACATCCTGGACAATAAAAAAGAATACATCAGGTAGTTACATAAAACAAATATTATCTATAAAAGATAACCAAACAACAATCAACCACTGGACTATGGACAATATATTCACCAAGCTGAAACCATGCAGAGGATGTTGATAAAATAATACCAATTGCAAAAAAGAAAAATGTATAAGCAAAATCAAACTATATACCTTCAAAAAATATTAGTAAACAGCAAAAAATCCATAAGGGCAAATATGCAAGATTTAGAATATATTGCATATGACTCAAATAGTAAAACACAAAACCAAAACAATACTGGAAATAAATATAAACTAATAAAAGAAGCAATAGAAAATCTAGAAACAGCCAGTTACCTACAAGAGTTACAACTAGAATACAAACAATACAAAGATATTACCTTTTAACTAATTCAAAAACAACAAGTAATTAATAATATACAACAAGATACAATAATTTGTGATATTCCAAATTTAAAACTGCAGTTTAAAACAGTGTTATCTAAATGGCCTACAACAACCAAAACACTTATTATAACTTTAATATTTAGCTTAATAATAACACCAAATAAGGCAAGAATTCAAATTATTACAAACAAAAATCATTTTGCAAAACTAGTCCAAACAGTTTATGCAACTACAACAAATGATATATACCAAATATATCACTTAAACAATTGGCCAAGTTGGCTAACATGAAAAGCACTAATTGTAAAAAAAACTTAAATTATATATTCTTAGTAAATGACCCTATAATATATACTATAAACATACACTCTCCTACTATAGAAATAAAAATAAGTCACAAAAATATACATTATGATGTTCTATATCCTATATAACAAAATACACCTATTAAATATAATATTAAAAAATTCATCTGTCATACACAGAATGCATAACGCATAGCATACTGGCAATCACAAGCATGAGCTCAAATATGAGATACTATTCACAAAGATGTAAATTGAAAATCTTTCTACAATTACATAAATTACTAATGTTCACCAACATAGAGACAAACAAACCCAAAATACTCACAACTAAAAGCATTTAAATTAAAATTACTATTAGAAGAACTGCAACCATTAGAAGTACTACACAAATGTAACAATATAAAGTACCCTAACTCAACATGTGCAAGATACCAAGCAATAACAGAAAGCAACTACTATCTGATAACTTGTAACAACAATAGCATGAGCTTACAGAAAATAATAACAGAAACAATCAACAAAATTCTAACCAAATATGAAATCACAAATATCAAAACTAGACATCAAGTCATAACCTTAATAATCCAAAATATTTGTCTAACTGATTTACAAACATAACTGACAAGAGTTACACTAGAAATGTTTTTCCAAAATAGTACAAGACTAATTAACAAAATACCAAAAATACCAAAACACAATCTATCAATCTATTTAATGCATAAAATCATGCAAAAAATATATAAAAAAATATGGATAACACAATGCAAGAAACAATATAACAACTTATCAAAATAAAATATCTCACAGATAAAAGATGATAACAGAAATATACTAATAATCTAAACAGCAATAACAGATACTCATAATATAGGATTAATTGAATTGAAAATAAAAACTAAACTAGAAATATAGAGAAAAATGTTTATAAATCACAATACCTCACCAAATTATATCAATACAATCATAGACTAAGTGAGGACTTTGACTCTTTTTAGCAAAGTCTGAGTTGTAAATAAAATAGCCTAAACTTTAACTTTCAGAGATTAAATAATATGTACTACAGATAAAAATGTATTTAGATATTAATAATCAATAAAGAAATCAAGGCAAGACCTCACTTTCAAAAAATAAAAAAAAAACAAAAAAAATAAATAAATTAAAATGCAATTTGTATATTGCTTTCATTGAATATATATCTTGTAGGTATTGTAGAATTTAAGTCGATTTGGGATTTCCTAGTTAAATTAGAGTTAGGGTTAGGGTGTACATATGATAAAATCAACCCCCCAGAAAACAGGTTTATATATAAATTCCTTATCCACTTAAATTCCGTTTACACATATATATATATTTATCAATAAGTCATTAGCGCTATCGCTATTTGAGTTATTAAGTACCAATGTTTAATTTTAAATTCCGGTACGTAACTGATTTTTTGGGCGACGCTTGGGTGGCTTGAGGGTAGATATTAGCGCACAAAATATATACTATAATACAGTAATATATTAAAATTTAATCGAATATAGGTTTCAAAAGAAAGGAATAAATAACATATACTGAAAACTTTTAAATAAAATAATATAATATATAAATTTTTACTTTTATTTCGTTAACATAGCTTTGACAAATGTTAATAAATCTTCTTTAATCCAGTCAATAAATTCTTGATCGTATCGAACTTTTTTTTTATTAGGCCTACTTTGTAATATATTTACTATGAAAATTAATCTTATATTCACATCCTTTTTATGTTTTAAAGAACAACCTTTACCATAAATTCTTGTACAGATTAAACTTACAAAACGTACTAGACATGTATTTAAACGAAACCTAATTTAAATGTGTTGACATTGTCGCATCGTTCTGAAGATATTATCGCTATGAATTAAAAAATATATATCACTTTATATACTAATTATTATTTTCGCTCGGATTACTGTTGCAAACTATACCATATTCAATATTAAATTTCTCAATTCGATTAATGCAAAGATACAATATGTAGAAAACTATGGGAATAGGGCCGCTCTTTTTGCTGTAATAAAGTGGTTACTTTAACACATTCGAAATTTATCTCTAATCTTTTCTTGTTAGATTAACACAGTGTGGGTTGAACCTAGTCATCCAGCCTATTTAAGAACAGTGTGAGGTGTACACAGCTGTTCCTACTAATTTAGTCGCAACAGTGTGAGGTGTTCACAGCTGTTCAATCTAATTTATTCAACCAGTATGGAGTGTACCTAGCTGTTAATGCGCGAATGGTGCAGGAAATGTACAGCCATTCCTGTTTTGCGAGGTGTACAACTGCCTATTTCTCCTTAATTACCCAGTTTCAATGTGATTTTACAGCGTTAAATAGTATCGATATGCTGTAAATGCAAGACTTTACTTGTTAATTTCCTATTTTTTATTTGAGAGAGGGGTTAAAGGGAAGAACCTTTCGATTTGCCAGAAAATAAGGTTTCGAGCAACTTTGAAAAGCAGCGAAAGAAAAGCACAAAAATTTTTTTTTTCTTGAATTTGTGCTTATTTATACTTATCATTAGACTCGCTAAATCAATGCCCTAATAATTCATTTAACTTCTAGATCAATGATCTAATAATTCATGCAATTTCCATTTGAATGACCTAATAATTCATGCATGACTCGCTAAATCAATGACCTCATAACCGTAATCATAAGGTCAGGTGATCCTCGCGATAATATCCCTACTGTGCCTACGTCACAGTCGGTCCTACTCAAGTTAAAAGTTTATCACTGCCGTATCACAAGCTTATCGAATCGGCCAAATAATAATTCGGTCAATTTTTCACCTGATGTTCCAAAATTTATGAGAACAGCTGTAATAACCGGGTGGGGTTTAAAACAAAATTTTATGAAAATTTTATAAATTTTTATATATGAAATTTAAAAAAAAAGCCGGCCGGGTCTGTTTGAAGATTTCATGTTATGAAAACCAAGAAATTAAATTTGTGGCCTAAATTCGCCGCCTTACTAATTCCGAAAGTTGCACCAATCTGGTCTCTTCGAATGATGGATTTCCAAATCAGGTGTAACTTGAGAGTCACACTATTTTGAGGAATTTCAGAATTCGTAATCGTTATTGATATAATGATAAAGCTTTATTTCAGAAACAATGGATGATCCAAATGCTGATGCAGAATGGTATATTTTTTTACAATTGATTTTATTATACAAGTCAATATATCGTAATTTATTCATTTTGTTTCAATAATGTAGGAACGATATTCTTTGTGCTCGAGAAATTCTTCCTCCAAAAGAGGGTCCGGCAGAAATAGAAATGCTAGAAGCCATGGACCAAGCTGCCATGGAAAAACAAGATAAGCATTTGGATAATAAACATTGGATGAATTGGAAGATGAAGAGAATGAACGTATATTACAGTATTAGAATATAGGTAAAGTTTTAATTATGATACGATAATATCGTGCAATAAACCTGATGCATTTCTGTTTTCTTTATTATAAGACGGAGAAGGATAACCGAAATGAAGGCTGAAACTTTACGAGCTAAATTTGGTGAATAACGAAACCTGATTTTGTAAGAGAAGTAACTGATGCTAGTAAAGAAGTTTGGGTATTTGTTTAAAGATTCGTGAGTATATGTGTATATTTATGCCTTTGCAAAGTTGCAAATAATAGTATACCAGAGTGCAAACTCATGAATTCACACCTGTCTCTTCTTGCCGCAAACCATAAGGCAACCAAATTTATAAAGATAATCGGTGATCAATGTATACCAAACTATCCAGATAAAAATTTACCAACTCTACTGATTTATGGCGGTGACATGAAATTACAGTTTATTGGATCAGACCAATTGGTGGAATAAACATGAGCCTCGAAAGTAATAATGCTATTTTTTTTCATTCTTATTATAAAAAAAAAACAAAAAAACAAAAAAAAAAATTCTAATTATTTAGTGTTTTGATCTAATGATGGTTGATTTAGGGCTCAAAGATTACTTAATTTCTTCAGTGCTATCAGTGTCGATTAAATAAATACAACTTGATTTAAGTTCTTTCTTAAACATTTAATTATTATATTTATTAATAAATGTAGAAATATAAATTTTCTTAATGCAATAAATTGTCATCAGAATTAAATTACACATTGAAAGTAATTGGTTAAAATCATTAAGAACATATTTATTACATAGCCATTATTCAAAGATGATGAATAACTTTTTTATTATTCTATTCTTTGAAAAATTTTACGATGAAATTATATATATATCGAAATTTAATTGGCTGTGCAGAATTTTTGGGTTTGGGTCAAAATCCCGACAGAAGAATCCAGACAAAAAATCCCGACAGAAGAATCCCAACAGGTCATAATCCCAACAAAAAAATCCCGACAGCTAAAAATCCTGACAGTCAAAAATCCCGATTGTTAAAAATTCAGACTAGAGTTGGTCACCGAAACCTTTTTGGCCAAATCCGAAAGTTTCGGGTTTCGGATTATAGTTTCCGAAACCTCATCCGAAACCCCGAAACCTTATCCGAAACCCGAAACCTCACCTGAAATCCCGAAACCCTATTGGTATAATAAATTTCTATAAAATCAATAATCTAATCTATTTTTTTATATATACAAACCTGGGTTAACCTAGTTTTTATAATACAAAATAGTTACAGATTGTATCTTTACAATAAACATATAAAGTGGATTAACTAACCTGACCTCTAATTGTAAATGCTATAATGACTTTGATCCGGATTTAATAATTTATATCTGGATTTAATTATTAGATCCGGATTTACAGCTGTTATCATTATTCCTAGAACACCGGATGGGCATTCTGCCGATTCAATAAATTATTGATTTCGGCATGATCAATGTAGACTGGGATAAAATCGCCACTAAAAAAGTTTCGAAAATCATATGATATTGTCAGTTCATGATTAGATCATGATGATAATATTTATCAAAATATTAACATAATTGATTGAGTAAGTGATTTTTTTTTCTTCGATTCTTTAAAGTGAAAAACGATCGTTAAAAGCATGAAATCCAATGAATACACTATTCTAAAAATATATGTTGATAGCCGTAACCAAATTCCATTAACAATAAGCGCAAAAGAATGAAATTCAAATGAATTATAAAAACTAATTAAGAAAATGCAAATGAACCTGAAAATCTTGTAGATTTAATTTTTAATGCGCTTCCG